TCTGTCTGTCTCTTTGTTTGTATTGATGTCTTGTCTAACAAAAGACATATAAGTATCAATAAAATTGCTTTAGTATTAATGAAGTACTGGATTAGAGAGCGATGGCATGTGTGGGCGACTCTATCCAAAAGACATCAATGAAATATATTTTAAATACAGTACAAAGTGTAGAATATTCTACACATTGTAAGCACACATGATATTTAAATTACTAGTTTAATATACAACTCAATAATGCATACAAACTAATGCTAATACTTATATTCCCTGAAATTGTGATCATTAATACAATACATTTATAATATACAGAATATTTTGTTATTTCTTATCAGACAAATAAACGCACAAATAATTATTTAAAATACTTATTAGAATACAATAATTGCCACAAACATGTATTGACAACATTAATAATATTTCATATTTGAAACAGACCTCAAAAGCGTACGGAAGAGGAGATGGAGTCTGTGTTTGAAGAGCTGTTGCACATCAAAGCGCTGTCACATCTCTCCAATTCGGTTAAGAAAGAGTTGGCCGCTGTTATCGCCTTCGAGTCTCATCCGAAAAAGCAAACTATTTGTTAGTATATTTCATCCCATATTATACCACTACTACACAAACAATCCTAATATTATATATCTATGCATTTAAAACTTTATTTTTGCAAATCCTATTTGACATTAACAGTTATGAATTATCATGGTATATGCAATAAATTATACCCCCGCACACATACTTTACACAGACTCCCACCACAATAGGGATTACACCACAATTTTTTATTCACTTAATGGATGTTAATAAATGAGAATCATTTCATCATTATGTTTAATATTGTTATTTTTGTTTGAATTATTTAGTACTTTAGAGTTTGTTGAGTACAGAATTTATAGAACTTAAAGTCTAAATAATGATATTGTATTAATATATTTGATTATACTTAACACATCCTAAACAATATAAGTTTTATAAAACCATTTTGATTATAGTAAAAAAAACCATTTGCTCAGATTAGGCCATATACTTTATACGGTATACTGTAGTGCAAGTGATTCATTAGTTAATTATGATAACTTCATTACGAGATTAGATACCAGGAAATGTACATAAAATAGTAATACATTTTTATTACATAAATAAATCTTATTTCGCTAAACACATTATAAACGAAAAGGTTGTTTTGTTATGAACACAACTAACACGATGTTTTGTTGGCAGTATTCAACCAGGGCGATTCGGGCACCTGTTGGTACATTATACTGAGCGGATCGGTGAACGTGGTGATCGCCGGCAAAGGGATTGTGTGCACTTTGCACGAGGGCGACGATTTCGGCAAATTGGCCCTCGTCAATGAGGTTATTATGCTGTTCACACGTATATATGAACTTGATTTTATTTATTTATTTCATTGTTTTTAATTATCGCATTAATTAATGTCTAGTTATGATATTGCGTTAGTACAATGCATAATATTTACGTTTATCATTTATTTTCATAACGATTATGGTGCATTTTCGAGTAATAACTTGTGATTATATGAATAGTTATGGGATATGGAGGGGAATTGTAAGGCAATGATTGTTATGTTTTGTTTAAATTAATTTATTCTTACGTTTTTCGTTACGTTATTTTCATTGATGTGTGACTTAATTGATGTGTAAATGTTTTCACAATTGATTAGTGTATAGAATATTCTCACACTTTATATTAAACCGATTGTAAGATATATGAAACGTTTGAGTAAATGATCATAAGAGATATGCCATACCTAAGTGCTGTACTAATTCACTGTCAAATGCAGGCGCCGAGAGCGGCCACAATTGTCACCAATGAGTCCAACTGTCAACTTCTTCGGGTCGATAAGTCCCACTTCGACCGAATCCTACGGGACGTCGAGGCGAACACTGTCCGACTCAAAGAGCACGGGAAGGAAGTACTCATTCTCCAGAAGATGGCCAACACTCACACCAACAATCATATCACAGCCTATGAGACCAATGTATCTCATTATAAGTGAGTTATTCTCTTTTTTTTCATTCTTGCTATTATCACATAATCATATAATTTTATCATCATTTGGCTAAACAGTGCTTTATGTATAGCAAGGCATCCAAAACTCATCCCAGGCTTTCATTAAATTAGATGTGATTCTCTCTCTCTCTCTCTCTCTCTCTCTCCACTCCAGAGGACAGGCGGCTGCCATGTGTCAGGTGCTCCTCGAGGGACA